ACTTTATAGTTTTATGGTTTTCTTTAACCTTTTGTGCTGCTTACATTTAGAATAAACTTATGTTATATCATAACAAAGTCTATAAAATATTTGTTGCAGTCCCTTTTGGATGAACCAAATCCAAACTCTCCAGCCAATTCATTAGCGGCACAATTGTACCAAGAAAATAAACGGGAATATGAGAAGAGAGTAGCTACTGTTGTTGAACAGTCTTGGTTGAACTTCCAAGAAAGTCACACAGAAGATGCCCGCTGACATTAAGTATGGTTCATTCAGTGTTTTCACGAAGTTTATTTAACGCAATTTTTTTGTATTATTCTTAGAAATTCATGGCCTCAAGTATTCTTTCTTGTGCTATCAAAACAATACGTTAAATCCTCCACTGTTCTACAGAATTTTTTTTTTTTTTTTATATTTCCTAGCTAACAATGCTATCTAGTTTTATAATATAGAAATGAAGAGATTTATTTAACATTGACTATGTTTCAGATATGTAAAAATGTAGAGCACTGGAGTGATGTGGAAGCGTACTGTACATTATGTGATCTTTATCTATAGACATAAATAAAATGTGTATGATTTTGCTCATTATAATTAGGTTTTAGGCGTCCATACACAACAAAATTACAAAAATAAAAAAAAATACATACGTATAATTACCGGTTTTGTAACATTGATTTACATTGTAACTAACAGCTATACTTAAATATAAGAAGATCTTCATAAAATAATTTTAAAACCAATGAATTAAAAGCTTACTAATACATTCTAAGGAAGCTACAAAATAATTTGTTTTGTTTTAAATACAAAAAATAAATATATCAATGTATAAATAATATAGCATAGAGTTACAATCAGTAATCAACTTGAAGGATAACTGTTAATTATTTGTAATTTCCTAATAAAGGTGAAACATTAAAATTGCTTTTTATAAACACGTTCCATAAAAAAACTTCATTTTATAATTATGTAAAACGTGCAAGTTGTTTTTATAAAACAACATGCTTTGCTATATATTTGACTTTATATTCAGCTATGAAAAATTATAGCTTATCAAATATATTGTACATTATGTATTAAAGAGGATTTATATTTTACAAATACAATGTCTATATGTACAAAGTAAATTTCCTTCAGTGAGGAAAGTGGTAAATATAAAATGAAATTGTATGTAGTACTATTTAGAGATTCAATAATTTTCATTTATACATGTACATTTCATATTAAATTTGTGATCATCACAAAAATCATACTTCTTACATAAATATACATTTTACAAATAATACAACAGAATTTTATAAGTGTTACTTAATACATACTGAAATAACAATCAGCAAAATTTAATGAATTACAATATGAATTGATTAAAAAAAATATTTATATTAAATTATTTTATTTATGACACAATTAATTTATATTACAAAAATTACTTTCCTTTTTTTAATACTGCTATTGTAGTTTGAACGTGAAATATATATAGTTCAGGTAATTACCATAAGTGTATGGTGTTTATACATTATTGCTTAAAATATGTAGAGGCCCACTATTTTTCCAATTTTAAACAAATATAAAGCAATATTAAAACATATGTTACAGTAATCAACGAATCTACTTTACTCTAACTATTTAATATTGTCACAATATTTACAATAGCGAATATTATACAAATATAATTTATTTGCTACTGTAGTTGATTATATGATAGTTCACACGCATATTTATACAATAACACATTTAACAACAGGGTCTTTTCATTCACTTTTTTATGAAACTACTGTTACCTTTTTTCATTGGTTGTCACAATTCAATCTGTTTAATAAGATTTTAAAAAGTACTTAAAATTACGAAATATATTTTAAAAGCTGTCTTTAATTTTAATTAAGTCTTCCAAGGTGTTTAAATTGCTCACCATTTTTCTCCTGCTACGATTTCTCCTCTTTTTCTTTATTGTACCTTTCTAATTCTTTTAAGAATTGTGCTTTGGGTTTCATAACATTTGGTCTATCTCCTCTGCATTTTGGACAAAACCACTTACCTTTTGGCTTGGTACTTAATGAAACACAAGAAAAGTGAAACCATTCTATGGGACACAAATCATTATCACACAATATCATTTCTCCATATGATATTTGATCACAGAGACAATATGTTGGTTCATCTGGGTCTATAGCAAGATCATCTTCCGGTGGTGGCGGAGTATCTTCGCGATGTTGATTTTGCTGATTACCTTGTCTAGATTTTCTTTTCTTTTTCTTGCCAGTATTAGTAGTAGTTGATTTCTTCTGATTACCATTACTTGCATTTAACAAAGAATTCGAACGTGTTTCTGCCATTACAATCATGTCCATTGCATTAGAAGATTCAACCATTGTCTCTGTTCTTGTTCTTCTAGCTCTCTTTGGCTGCCTTTCTGAATTATTTGCATTACCAGAAGAGTTTGTGTTTACATTTGCATTTGTTTCACGTGTTGATTCACTACTCTCCTGTTCTTTTCCAAAATCTGTAAGAAATTTAAAATGCATACAATATTAAAATGCGGCAAACATTTATATTTAATAATGAAATATATAAAATCAATAAGAGAAAAACTATACCAAGGTTACGGTAATCTAAATCTAATTGCCTGGACTTATTTTCTATAAGATCTTGAACTTGTTGAACTATTTGTAACTTTTCATCTCCAATTTCTTGTGCAGCAATCAATGCTTGCTGAACTCTTAAAAGTGCTCTTCTTCTAACTGCTAAGTCTGTGTCATTTCGTAATGCTTCTTGTTGTTGATCTACCTCTCGCAGGTATGCTAGATCAAAAGAAAAATGGAGGTAAATTATTTTCCAATTTTTTTGTAAAAACGAAATAGCATAAATAGCACTTATGAATGTTAAATTATTTTACGTTTTCTTATAATTTACGACATAATAAAATGAAAAATAAATCATCAACTTGTATTCAGTGTTTATGTCTATAAACAATGTAAACTTTTAATGTCATTCCGATTTTTATTCTTTTTAACACTTTATTTCCACTAAATTTGAACATTTCACTTCATTCAGGTATTTATGAATTTCTCAAGTTACAAAAAAGGAATGTTTACAATGAAAACGTATCAACATATATACTCTAGAAGCTTTTAAGAATTTATGAATTTTAATTACTTTGACAAGTAGCATCGAGTTCTCGTAACCGGGAAACATGCCTTTGTAAATCATTTGGTAAGTTTTCCACACAATCCAAATAATTTTCGATATATGTCGCAGAATATAAAGCTTCGACTACAGCTTGGTTTAACATGTTCACTCTCTTACGAAGTTTCTTCAACAGTTAAAGAATATAAAATCTGTCCTTTTATTGACAAAATCTCGAAAGCCACTACACCAAGTTTTCGAACTTTTCGCACCATTTATACAGATATTTATTATCATTTAATTTACAACTACACCAATCAAGATCAATCAAATCATACGGAACATAAGTAAACTGTTGCAAGACTTTTTTGGATACACCATCTGTATTTGTGACAAGAGTCAAACATGGCTGCCGGTTTCTAACTGAGTTCTGCAAGTTTATCTTTCCAAATTAGACATAAATTCATCGTAAATACCACCTATTTTACTCTAAAAAATGTGTATAAATATATTTCAATAAACTACATCACGTGCGAAATACTGTAAAATTCACTTGTTATATATTGAAACAATAACTTCTTATAAAAAATTGACAAGAATGCAACTCAAGGAAATCACACTTTGTAAAGTATAACTTTTGAATGAAAACAATAAAAGATTTTAATTGCTAGTGTTATTTATAATCACTTATTTACGTATATTTCTGAACGTGAACAACGATTACAATGTTTGATGGTGAAGCCAGCTTAATAATCATTGACGTTACTGTTATGCTATTTTACATCACATTAATAATGTTCAGTTGTATTTATGTTAAAAAATAATTTATAAAATACTGTATTGTTGGGTGTGTTAAAAAACGTAAACAATTGTACATTTCTTTTGTATAATAAAGAATTTGTAATTTAAACATTGCTTTGACTAGCTATCTGACGTCAAAATTTGTTGTACGGACTACCAATCCTGTGTCACAACCCTATTTGATTTCGTTCGGTAGAAGAAAGAGTCGTGTTTGGGTTCTCGTGTGCCGCAAAAATTGCGTGACGGTTATTGCAAAAATATTGGTTTTCTTGTTTGAAAACTTTAGAAGAAGATGACATCCACAGGAACCTTCCAAGGGTTTAGCGATGAAAAGAAAAAGTCTAGCAAGTAAGTGCCATGGTTAAATTTATGGTTTATTATATGCAAAGATATCGTATGAGAGTGGTGTTGCCCTTCTGCCAGTAGTGCACCAGTTATTTATTTTAACCTAGAGAAGAAAAAGAGTTAAAATCTTTACAAATGTAAAGTATTTTTTTCATTAGTAGTCACTGTGAGAGACGTTGACAAAGACTTTAATCATTTAACAGTTTCAATTTTATTATTCTCTAGATTTTTTCATTATTTATATATCTTCGTAAATTATGTTTATAGAAAATAAGAGTATTTATTTATTTTATTTAATATGTAGTAATAAAAACAAATGAATGGCGTCTTGTTGGTTACTGACTTTTTTGTTATGCACGATGCGTCAGTTTGAACCGGTCATAACCGGACAATCCATGAACCTTTTTTACACTAGTAATCTTTTGGCAAATCCAAATTTGCGAAAATTAGGGACACATATTTGTAATTTAATCTTAATAGATATTTTAAGGAAGTTTAGTAAGTATTTTATATTATCTTTAAAATGAATGCAACAAAATAGTTACGTTAAATGCGTTACTTGTTATCAGTCACATCTTCAGCACTTTGTAATTTTTGACATTTGCTAATTTTTTATGCATAACAGTTAAAAATACAGTTGCAATCTTATAATTTTTGTGATATTACATTTATCGTGAATTTAAAAATTTACATTTTTTTTCTTA